CACGCGCGTTTGCTGTCGCGACAGATTTGGAATCCAGACTGAGACTGAGCCGAGTTAGCCAAGTTAGACCGAGCTGCGATCTGAGGACTGCGAATGGGGAAACGACTCCAAAAGCCGACAAGCGGTTGCCGACAAGCGATTTGCGTTTTGCGAACCCCTTCCTCACGGCTTCCACTTTTCGCTGAGCCCACAAACCGTTGAACAAGCAAATTTTTTGAGAACTTTCAAACAAAAAAGAACCACAAAGTGTTTTCAAAGTAACCCAAAACAAGGACAAGGCACGAGCGAAACACAACTCCAGCATGTTTATTTAAAGAAATGCTTATTTAGATAATGAGATTTGTAACTATGTTGCTTAAGTGCTTAATATTAATAAACATTTCAAGTCTATATGATCTCATCTTTAGATATTTATATGATTAAAAAAATTTTCTTGAGTATCTTTTATTATTGCCACTGTTATAAGCTACACTTATAATAAAAAGAATGAAAAACATTCAACAAAATATTATTATATTATAATAAATTTGAATATATAATTTTATACAAGTTATAAATTTGATTCAGTTTCATTAATTCTTTCAATGTTCTCTAGATATATATTTTTCTTTTTCAACATATAAGTATGTACATATGGTTAATGTATGTTTTAAATAAACTGGGCTACGTATTAATTTGTTGACTTCAATTTATAAAACAAGAAAAAACGTAATAGTCGATGGCCTAGACTATCAGATACCCGTTACTCAGCTAAAGGGAGTGCGAGAGAGATGGCGACATGCATGCTGAAAATAAGCTTTTTCCGGGATTGCACACCACGCCAAACACGCCACCTAGCGTCCATTCCTTTATTTGCTTATAACTTTCAAAGGTATGGTCCGCCTAAAATACATTTTGGTATGTTGATGGGATTGATAATAAGAAACATAAAATCCCATTAAGGTTTTTAAAAAGTCTTTATAAATGTAATATATTCATTAAATAACCTTATAATATAAATGTATTAATTTCATGGTCTTTTATAAATTTTTTTTTCTTTTATTTGGGATTTCAATATTCAAAACAATGGGTATTTTGAGAAGCCATTCATAAAGTATCCCCTCATTGTTAGCCTGTTTTGAAGCATTTTGGACTAAAATTGTATTTTAGTTTGCTACAAAGTGCTCCAATATTTTCTTTGTACGCCGACTAATTGAGTTATTGAAGTCGATGGGACAAGGACAGCGCCTTGGAAAAGAGCGATCCTTAATTGCATAAGCAACGAGTGAACATTAAGCTTAATTGTCCGGAGCTGCGCCTTCGAATCGGCTCACTTCATGTCAAGCGCATTTAAATAAATTCTGTTGAGTGAGCGGGCCATAAACAAGCAAACAATTACAAGTCAAAGTCGGGCGAGTGAAGGAGCTGCTCCACATGCGTGTGGGAGTCAATATATCTACATATCGCCAGTCGGGGATCCAACTGCCGGCAATGCCAACGCTTGAACCTGACATTCGGCGAATTCATATTTATTCCCCGCCACATGCGGCAAGTGACAGCCATCCACTGGCAACAAATCGATGCGATCGCTCAACAAATTGTATCTCTGTATCTGTATCTGTATATCTGCATCTCCGAGTGTCTGCTGCTTGCTGATGCGTTTTAAATTGAAGTCAATTCGGCAGACATATGCAATAAATAACGGGAGTCGGGCCAATTTGATTATTGATTTCGCGAAAGTGCCCCCCAAGAATGAAAGTCAAATGAGGGAGTGCTTTTGGAAATACTCTACATTATGTGTTCATTAAAATTCTAGTCCTCTTTCTTGTCGCACAGAGTGGGTCCCTTGCCAATGCAGGAGGAGTAGGCCATCAGGTGGGGAATGGTGCTCTGCTGCATCATTCCGCTGAAGAGATGACTTTGGGGTCCAGTGGCAAAGATCCCCACATCCTCGCCAGCGTGGACTCCAATTAAGCCATGGATATAGCTGGGGTGGATGAAGTCTATAAGGAAAGTAGAGAGATTAGAATTATTATATAGAATTGTTAAGATAAATATATATATATGGCGAATAAGTTCTATCGAAAGAACCCAAATGCTTAAAACTTCTACATATAATTAAATACATTATTCAAACTTATATCATATTATTCTTGGAATTTAACCATTTTGCTTTGCAAAACCATTTTTAAATATTCTTTCCTGACCATACCATACTCGCTTAAATTTCGACTAACTCACTAGATTTAATTAGAAAACATTAATGTTTTGATTTTATATATAGTTTAAATTTATATCATTTATAAATTCCTAAAATTTTTCTAAGCTGAGGACCCTTTTTCTAAAGTCTGTCATTATTTTTCTACAGTCAGTTAATCAAAATTAAAGCAAGTGCCTATTGCCAAAGGTCACTGCTTAATGTAACTGATATAAATATTTTAAAATAGCACATCGTATGCCACAAATTATATATGATATTATATATCTCTTTGCTCCTACCTTCAGCTCCAATTTGATCGGTGAGATCGATGCGCTGGCCATGTTCATCCAGATACTGCTCGGTGCCCACAGCGTAGTTCAGAGTGGCGTACTTGACGCCATTCACATCGGTGTCATCCTGATTGAGTCCCAGGATGGGGGTTCCTCGGCCAGGATAGCCAGAGATGGTCAGCGGATGGGCGTGATCGGAGGTGACCACAATGAGGGTCTCCTCGGGATTGGTTAGTTCCAAGGCCTCCTGGACCGCCTGCTCGAACTGCAGAGTCTCGGCAAGCGAATGGGTTGGGGAGTTAAAGTGGTTGCCGTAGTCGATCAGACCACCCTCCACAAACAGGAAGTAGCCCTCCTCACACTTGCTAACCACTTCGATGGCCTTGCGCGTCATCTCCGCCAATGTGGGCTCCTCCTTGGGGTCGGCCAACTTGTTGAAGCTCATCACTCCCGACCGGAAGGTTCCGATCAGATTCGTGATCCTCGAGGCATTCACACTCAGCAGCTGGTCGCGATTGTAGGCCAAAACGCCGCCGGGATGCAGACTCTGCCAGCGGGACAGCAGATTCACTCCGTCGGATCGCTCGCCCTTCTTGTTGAACGGATCCGTGACGGTATTGGGCAGGAACTTGCCAATGCCTCCGCCCAGCATCACATCGAAGTTCTTGCCTGGAGACTGGGTGATCAGCTGAGTGGCGATGTCCGTGCAGGTGGCGGGATCGTTCTGGCCCTCGCCGTAGGTCACAATATCAGTGTCGCTCTCGAAGAATCGGTTGGTGGTCTTGGCATAGGCTCCCGATGGACTGGCGTGGGTCAGCGTGGTAGTGGTCACGATTCCGGTGGCCTTTCCGGCAGCCTGAGCCCAGGCGGCGATGGAGTCCACCTGGTTGGCCGGATCCTCGCTGCCACTGCAGTTGTTAAAGGTCACGGCAGCCGTGATTCCGAGAGCCACGATATTGGTCTTCACACCGCACAAGTAAGCGGTGGCAGTGCAGGCGGAATCGGGAACCTGGGCATTGGAGCAGTAGGTCTGTGGAGAAATCAGATATATTATTCATGATCTCAGACATATTTAAGCCCTGTGGTTATCACTCACCCTGCTCAGGCCGGTGTAGGGGAACTTCTCGAAGCTCAGGGCATCCTCTTCACCCGTATTCCCCTTCAGCTGACCCTTGTGGATGCGGGCGGCTGCCACCGTGGACAGGGACATGCCGTCGCCCAGGAACAGGATCACATTCTTGGCCTTCCTTTTGTCGATCTGTGGTAGCTCCAGTCGCTTGGCGATCTCCTCGTGGGCCAGGTCATACCAGAACTGGGCGTTCTTCTCCGCCTCGGGGCCCGTCTTTCCCTTGGCCATGGCATTGGGGTCGATCAGGTTGGCATCACGGGCTTTCACCGCACTACTTACTCCCACCAGCTGGTTTTGAGAATGGATCTCTTGCACTGAAAATGTGACTCCATGAGGATATTGTAAGTTTCAGGGTGCTAAAGCACTCACTGTCTACGGAAGCTGCCAAGGAAGTGGCCACCAGGGCGCCTAGCACCAGGATAATGCCTACGTAGCTCTTCATGTTCTGGCAGATGAGTTACGTTTGGGGCTAGCGATTGGACTAATGCCAGGATTTCAGCTGCGGCTATTTTATAATTACCTTTCTAGACTGATGTTATCTAATTTGTCATATCTCCGTGGCATAAGCCCCATAGCTCAAAAGTCTCCCAAAAACCTAAGTTTACAGTTTGATATTTACACAGTCTTTTGCTCATTCAAGTTTATGACCACTTTTACGGGTCTCTCAGTCAACAAACCTGGCAACCAGTCCAAAATTCTAGACCAATGAATGGCGTACACACTTTGCTTTTAAAAGTGGGCACGGCACCAAGACTTTTAATAATAAGAACTGACCCCTTGCCGCACTCACGTTGAAGTAATGTGGTTGGCAGGTCCTCAGTACAACATGAGTTTAAAACCACAACTGTGCCCATTAAATGTTATAAAGATTGCCTAAAATCCGGCGATAATTTTTGAATAGAAGAAGAATAGCACAAAATATATACAGTTGAAATTCCGTAGCCTGAACTTTTACTGCTTCAAGTGTCTATAAGTTAAACTAGTTTTAATGGCAGTATAGATTATCAATACTTATAAAATGAATTTTATAACACGAAGTCTTTATAAATCGAGTTATGTGTTGGTATATGGAGGTTCATGCAATGGAAGTTCAACTGAACTGAAGAGCATTCGTGGCTATCTTGAGTATACTCATCCAGAAATAAATAATACAAAATAATAGTACATTTCATTTCTTGATCTGTTAAATTCTTTAACCCATTGTACTTGCATTACAGTTTATTATTATATGTATGGATATAGGAAATAGATCCTCCTACTCGAGTTAAAAGGATATTTAACATGTATTTTACTCCAAATTTGTAATTTCTACTAAACACTTTGTTTATACCCCCCACAACAAAATTCTGGATCCGCCACTGAATATACTAAACTATCCTATAAGCAACAGGAGGAAAAATTGTTCACGTTATTATAAAGAGCATCTCACTTTATTATCCTTAATTTGGTTTCTTAAATTCTAAAGTTCAGTTCCTCCATAGTTAGTTACCGCACACCTTCTTTCCGCTGCCAACGCATGAGGCGTAGGCCATTAGGTGGGGAATGGTATGCTGCTGCATCACTCCGGTAAATAGGTGGCTTTGTGGACCGGACGCCCAAATACCCACGTCCTCACCGGAGTGAACTCCTATCTCTGTGGGGATATAGCTGGGCGTGATGGCATTGTCAGGGCCGAGGATATCCTCCAAAGGAATGCGCTGGCCACTCTCATCCAGATACTGATTGGGTCCAGCCGCATAATTAAGCACCGAGTACTTCACACCATTAATATCTGCGTCGTGATGATTAACGCCAAGAATGGGTGTACCCCTGCCAGGATAACCGGCGATGGAGACCGCATGCCCATGATCGGCGGTCACCACAATCAGCGTGTCCTCGACGTCAGTGATGTCTCTGGCCAACTGAATGGCCTTCTCAAACTCCAGAAGCTCATCCAGAGCGTAACCAGCTTGTGTATAGTGGTTGGCAATATCGATAAGTCCACCTAAACAACATTTCAATTCTTAGTAAATCTATATGCAAGTGCTAGATTGGGAAAAACCCACCTTCAATGAACACAAAGTATCCGTTTTCGTTTTGGCTCAGCTTCTTGATGGCCACCTCGGTGAGTTCGGAGAGAGTGGGCTGGTAGGTGGCATCCGCATCCATATGGAGGTCCATCAAACCCGACTGAAAGACACCAATAATGCTGGACGCAGATGAGACGTCTAGGTTGAGCAGCTGCTTGCGATTGGTGACCATGACACCTTTATCGTGTAGCCCTTGCCAACGGGACAAAAGATTCACCCCATCGGATCGCTCTCCAGCCTTTCCGTGACTGTCCTTGATGGTCTTGGGCAAGAACTTGCCCATTCCGCCGCCGAACATGACCTCGAAGTTCTTGCCAGGCGTCTGGGTCACCAGTTGGGTGGCCATGTCGATGCAGGTGCTGGCATCCACACCATAGTTGGTCACATCCGTATCGCACTCCCACATGCGGTTGGCCGACTTGGCGTAGGCTCCCGAGGGACTGGCGTGGGTCAGTGTGGTGGTGGTCACGATGCCAGTGGATTTTCCGGCATTCTGGGACCATTCCGCAATGGAGGTCAGACGGTTCGCTGGATCCTGGCTGGCGGTGCAGTTATTAAAGTTTACTGCCGCACTTACTCCGAGGTTAATGATGTTGGTTTTGACGCCGCACAGATAAGCGGTGGCAGTGCAGGCGGAGTCGGGTACCTGAGCGTTGGAGCAGTACGTCTGTGACGATAAGAGTTAAATAATTACACACGTTGAAAACTTTATAGTATTGAAATACTAGATCAATATATATTCTATTTCAAAGATATATATCCCGGACTGGAACTCACTCTGCTTAATCCGGAATAGGGGAAGCTCTCAAAGCTCAGCAACGACTCCTCACCGGTCTTGTTCTGGCGCTGTCCTTTTAGGATCCGAGCAGCTGTGACCGAGGAGATTGGCATACCATCCCCGAGGAACATTATGACGTTCTTGGCCTTCTTGGTACTAAGCTGTGGTAGCTGCAGCCTCTTAGCGATCTCCTCGTCGGCGATATTGTACCAGAATTGGGGATCCATCTCCTCCGGCGGAGTGTACTTTCCCTTGGCCACATCCGTGGAGAACCTCAGTCTGCTGGCCCTCTGACCAGTCAGTTCAAGCACATTGTGCACTTCCTTGACCCTACTGAGAGCTATACCGCAGATGGCAAGTAGCACTAGGATGGGGAGCAGTAACTGCATCTCGGAGAAATGCAACTTTCGAGTGCAGCGAAATTTCACAAACTACACCGAACCGATCTGATTTCGAGGGCTTATATGGACTGCGAAGATTCGTGGGCCCCAGATTATTGTACTTAATGTAGTTTTATACGCGATTTATGGACCCTTGGACTTATCTCTGCTGGTATGGCGAATTTCCAGGAAGATCAGCTGAAACTTACATTGCTTTCTCACTATCAAACCTCTACCCGTTGTAAAGCTCATTCGAAATAAACGGTTTGTAAATATTTGACCTTCGTTCTAACATTTGTTTTGCTCATGATCCTTAAAGTGCTGAGATCACCTGTGCAAATTATTACTCGAGCTATCAGATAAAAGAATCAGTCACGTTTGCGGCAATAAAGAAATTTAGCAACCCCATGGTAGTAATTTATAGAGAACGTGTGACAGAGCTATCACTAAAATTTTTGCATATTTTTTTAAAGGAGAAAGTTGTTATTGCCTAATCGGACTTTTATAGGAACTATGATAAGCTGTCGTATGTAACATTGCCAACACAACTTAATTGTCCTGATAAGAGAAATCATCTCCTAAAACGTAAAACACGTTTTCTTGTAAACCGTAAGTCCTCTAATATGTATTACATTTTATTTATTATTTATTATATGAGAAAGTATATCTCATCATTACGGCGATGTATCTCTATATTTTGTGAACTTTTATTTTAGTTAGGGCAAGCGATTAAGATAATACCAGCGTTCTGCACGCGCCTATTTATAAACTCGTTTTGGGCAGGTTTTATCTGGACTTTCCTATCTCCATGGCATAAGCCTTATACCCTAAACGTCTCCGAAAAATCTCAGTTTATGATTTAATATTTGCACAGTTTTTAGATAATAAAGTTTATGATTATAGGGGCTCATTCAGTTAATAGACATGGCTACCAGTTCAAATGGACGCACGGTAACGAAAAACTTTAGACTTTTTAAAGGTGATCACGACATAAGGATTTTAACAATGGACAGGTTTTAGACCCCCTGAGTGCATTTTTGGGGGTGGTTGGGGATAAGTGCTTCATGAGTTCATGGCCAAAGTTGCGATAACTAGAAGACGTAGGGATTGACAAATATAATATCCTATTGTAAAATATAATATCGAAATAAAAGAATAAACTGGAGCTTTCTTACATACATACTTAACGAAGATAATATCATATCAAACAATCCATTTTTTAATAAATATTAGGAAATGTATGTATGTAATGTAATGTATCGATCAAGAAGTGTGTAAGTGTGGACACCTTAAAAATCAGCAAAGCAGAAATCGTTTTTTCCAGTTTCTATTTGAGTAAGGTACTGTATTACATTCTGTTTTTTGTTTAGTTTTGAAATGGTTATATCCTTACTTTGACATAGCGTAATAACTTTTGTCATGTTACATTAAATCATACACATATTCGTCTCATTGCTTATTAAATGTTTTTATTTTAGACTAACTAATCAGAGTCTTGGAAAATACTTTGAGTGAACGATGTACTTAGGCTCAAACTTCAACTACAGTTTTCCTGCGCTTTAGTATCTTCTTCATTAGTGCCAGAGTTTCCACAGTTAGTTATCGCACACCTTCTGTCCGCTTCCAATGCAGGCGGCGTAGGCCATCAGGTGGGGAATGGTGCTCTGCTGCATCACGCCGGTGAAAAGGTGGCTCTGGGGACCGGAGGCGAAGATGCCCACATCCTCGCCGGAGTGCACGCCTTGATCCTTGGGGATGTAACTGGGCGTGATGGCATCATCGGCACCAAGGATGTCGTCCAAGGGAATGCGCTGGCCACTCTCATCCAGATACTGATTGGGTCCAGCCGCATAGTTAAGCACAGAGTACTTTACACCATTGACATCGGTGTCGTGCTGGTTGATGCCCAGGATGGGGGTTCCTCTGCCTGGATAACCGGCAATACTCACGGCATGTCCGTGATCGGCTGTCACCACAATCAGCGTGTCCTCGATGTCAGTAAGGTCCCTGGCCAACTGAACGGCCTTCTCAAACTCCAGGGCCTCATCCAAAGCATAACCAGCTTTGGTATAATGGTTACCGTAATCAATGAGACCACCTTCGATAAAAGCAAAGTATCCGTTCTTGTTCTGGCTGAGCTTCTTGATGGTCACTTCGGTGAGTTCGGAGAGGGTGGGCTGGTAGGTGGCATCCGCATCCTTGTGGAAGTTCATCAACGACGATTGGAAGAGACCGATGACGCTGGACACGGCAGAGACGTTTAGTTTGAGCAGCTGATCGCGATTGGTGACCAAGACGCCTCCGTCGTGAAGTCCTTGCCAGCGGGATAGCAGGTTAACGCCATCGGATCGCTCTCCAGCTTTTCCGTGACTATCAACGATGCTCTTGGGAAGGAACTTGCCCATTCCACCGCCGAACATCACCTCGAAGTTCCTTCCAGGCGTCTGGGTCACCAGTTGGGTGGCCATGTCGATGCAGGTGCTGGCATCCGCACCATAGTTGGTCACATCCGTATCGCACTCCCACATGCGGTTGGCCGTCTTGGCATAGGCTCCCGAGGGACTGGCGTGGGTCAGCGTGGTGGTGGTCACAATGCCAGTGGACTTTCCAGCGTTCTGGGCCCACTCAGCGATGGAGGTCAGACGGTTGGCCGGATCCTGGCTGGCGGTACAGTTATTGTATTCCACGGCTGCACTTACCCCAATGTTGACGATGTTGGTTTTCGCACCGCACAAGTAAGCGGTGGCCGTGCAGGCGGAGTCAGGCACTTGGGCGTTGGAGCAGTAGGTCTGCAGAGATAATGTTTTATTAATTTAAATTATAATAATCAAAGGTTTTCACAAGAACTCACCCTGCTCAAACCAGTATAGGGGAATCGCTCGAAACTCAGCGAGGACTCCTCACCGGTATTCCCCAGGCGTTGTCCTTTCAGAATGCGAGCAGCTGCGACGGTGGCGAGTGGCATACCATCACCCAGGAACATAATGATGTTCTTGGCCTTCTGGGAACTGGGCTGTGGTAGTTGCAGCCTTTTGCTAAGCTCCTCGTCGGCGATGTTGTACCAGAATTGGGGATCCATCTCCTCCGGCGGGGTGTACTTGTCGTTGGCCACATCCGTGGAGAACCTCAGCTTACTGGCATGCTGACCCGTCAACTCGAGCACATTGTGCACCTCCTGAACTCCACTGAGTGCTGTTCCGGCCAAGGCCAGAAGCACCAGGATCGGGAGCAGAAACTGCCTCTGGGAGATGCCCATCTTTGATTGCTTTGCTGCTGGTGAAATCTCACTAACTACACCGAATTAAGATGATAACACGGGCTTATATAGTCTGACAAGATGCGTGTGTGGTGGATTTTCGGCTTCCACACAAAGAATTCCTAAATTTCGGTTTATTTCCCCTTTATGGACCTCTGGACATATCTCGCTTGAAATGTCGTATCACTCATAGTATCAGCTTTATCTAGCGTGGTGCTCGGTGAGTTGGGAACCGGAATGGGAAATAGTATAAACTATTCCACTAACTTACCACCACAGAAGTTTTTAGAAATTATACCAAATATTATGTCTTTTGGTTCTTATATAAGTATTTGACCTTCGCTCTGTCAAAAAAATCTCAAAAACCGTTGCCCATTTGTCTAGCTCATGATCCCAAAATGTTGAAGTCACCTGTGCAAAGCATTACTGCTGCTATCTGAATCAGTTCAGTCACGTTTGGGTTCGTGAAATATTTTAATCTAAGGCGAACGTGTAGCTAACTTATCACCAGCTTTTTTGCAATTTCACCAATTTGAGGTAGATGAGATGTGGTCTCGTGTTGACGAATTTAGTTAAGTGGAAGTTGCTATTGGACCGGTGCAAAGAACAAATCATGACAAAGACAACCTTCACTTACTCAAATTTCTAATAGCTTAATCCATATGCTTCCTTTTTTTATAGGTCGAATTTTTCCAGGAATAATATTATTCAAATAAAGCTCCCTATTAAAATTACCAAGATATTTGTTTATTCAAAGGAAATCGAATGTTTTTCTGTGGAATTATATTCATTATATACAAGTTCGACAGTTGTTATGCCGCTATATTAAAGTTACCATCTTTGAAAATAATGCCATAAGCAAAGGAACCCTAAACTTCAAAATTTAACAAGGAATCCAAATTAACCCAAAATTGCACAATGTTCAAGCGCAGTCTAAGCCATCTGGATAAGCTGCCCAAATCGAAGGTGGCCGAGTGGCTATGCGGGATCGACACCGTTATCTGCAGCACGGATGGAGTTTTGTGGCAGGAGAACAACCCTATCAAAGGATCCGTGGAGGCCTTCAACACCATCAAGGCCAAGGGAAAACGCAGTCTGATAGTTACCAACGCCTGCTGCCTAACTAACTCGGAATTGTTCCAAAAGGCCAAGTGCCTGGGCTTCAATGTTAAAGAGCAGGAAGTTCTCAATTCGGCAGGTGCCGTTTCGAGTTATCTTACCGACCGAAAGTTCAAGAAGAAGTTGCTCGTTCTGTGCGGCGATGGCATCCGCAAGGATCTGCAAAAGAACGGCTTCTGTGCCATGGCCAACGATCAACGACCGGATGACAGGAACAGATTGGAATGGGTCAAGAACCTGGTTCTCGATCCGGACGTGGGTGCTGTTCTGGTGGCGAGGGCCGACGGCATGGAGACGAATCAAATGCTTGTGGCCTGCAACTACCTCCAAAATCCCAAGGTCTTGTTCCTGACCACCAGCAAGGATGGATTCCAGACACTTGGCAAGACTCGGGTTCCCGACGCGGGCACCGTAGCAGCTGCCATCGAGGTGATCGTGCAACGGAAGCCGACCGTCTTGGGAAAACCGAATCCTCGAATTTTGGGCAATCTGCTCGAATCTGGCGAAATCAAACCGGAAAAGACACTAATGATAGGAAACTCGTAAGTCAGTAGAATATAAATCAGTAGAACAGAGTAACCATGGGTTAGCCCAGGATTAGTAACCCTTATATATATTTTTTTTGGAAAAGTCTTAAAGTCCATATAGCTTAAATTATTAATTTATTATTATTTAAAATAATTATTGCATT